AGTAGTGAAGCTGAGACCTAGTGCCCTGGGAACCCAAGCACAGAGGAGGCCCTGCTGACTGGGGGGAATGAAGTGGACACCTGTCTGCTAAACTGTGGGAACTGTGACATCACCCATGGAGGATGCTCAGTGAAGCCCCATCCACACAGCTGGCTTTCTGGTGCCAGACATTCGAGGAAAGCCTCTTCCATGAAAGGCAGAGATCCCCCCAAAACAAACAGAAAAAGTGGAACTGGGACCAAAGGAGACCACGCAGAGAAACAAAGGAGACTCCGATGCATAAGCCTTCCTGTTCTTGTTCCAACTCACTGGACCCAAGTGCTGCTTTCAGGCTGTGCTGGCCTGGACACTCAGCCTTCCTGGCCAACAACCCTTCTCTTCTGAGATGGGTTTTTAACATTGAGGCAGCCCCCTGGGGCACCCTGGGGCTCTGAGGGAGGGTCTAACAGTCAACTCTAACTCACTCTCCACAACTTACACGATAAAGTCTAAATGTGAGTGGCATTTCTGAAACGTCCTAAACCCTTGTTCTGCACTCCTGTCCCTGGTTCTTGAGTCAACTTGTCCTTCCCTCTGCTGTGGTCTGAAAGTCTGTGTCCCCCCCAAAACTCACAGGTTGAAATCCTATTGCCCAGGATGACAGTATTAGGAGGTAGGGCTTTGGGAAGTGCTTAGTAAAGGAGGATGGAGCCCTCATGAATGACATTAGTGTCCTTATAAAGGAGACCCAGAGGGATGTTGCCCTTGCATCTGGTGAGGATACAGGGAGAAGGCCCTGGCTACCATCCTGGTCCTTACCAGTAGGTGACCATGCTGGGGCCTTGACTTGAACTCCCAGCTTCCAGAACTAAGAGGAATAAATGTCTGTTGTTTATAAGCTACCTAGTCTGTGGTAGCAGCCTGAATGGACTAAGGCACCTTCAAAACATCCTTCCTTTCCAGGCCTGCACTAGCCCCAGGCAGGGACAACAAATTTTCCTTAAAGTCTAGGGGCCTGGGAGGTGGTCAGACACTGCCAAGGGGAACTGCAGCAAAAGCAAGACATGTGGGACCTTAAAGGAAGCCAGGGATGACACATACTGTGTGACTGCACTCACATGACATTGTGGAGACCGCAGATGTAGAGGACAGAAATCATCAGTGGTTACCAGAGCATGGCGGTGGGGGAGGGGCAGGCAAAGGGGCACCAGAGCACATTTTGGGGTGATGACAATGTTCTGTATCTTGACCACTGTGGTGGTCATATGCTTGTATATATATATATATATATATATATATATATTTTTTTTTTTTTTTTTTTTTTTTTGTTAGGGGCGGGCTTCTCACTGTTGGGGCCTCTCCCGTTGCGGAGCACAGGCTCCGGATGCGCAGGCTCAGCGGCCATGGCTCACGGGCCCAGCCGCTCCGCGGCATGTGGGATCTTCCCGGACCGGGGCACGGACCCGTGTCCCCTGCATCGGCAGGCGGACTCTCAACCACTGCGCCACCAGGGAAGCCCATGCTTGTATATTTTTGTCAAAATTCTCTGACCTGTTGGCTTTAAAGGGGTGTAAATTCTTAAAAATTACAAAGCACATTAAAGTTTTAAAGGGTGTAAGTTATACTACAATAAACCTGACTTTAAAAAAAAAAGAGATGGGAACGCAAAAGGAGACGGGACCGCCCGCTTCCAATCCCACCGCCATCACCTGCGAACTGAGCTGTAATCGAGAGCGAGCCAGTTAACTTCACCCCTCAGACTCCGTTTCCGCTTCTCAAAAATCGAGACGCCCACACATCTCCCTCCCAGCGTGGAGGTGGGGCGTAAAAAAGAGAAAGCCTCCGAGGCGCCGGCTCGAGCGCGCGCCTCCAGCTTTGCCCACGCCCAGAAAGCCCGAGGCAGGTGCCTCCCTACCCGCTGGGTGCGCCCCGCGGGCGCGCACCCGCTCCCCTGGACGGAGGCGGGGGCCACAGCCCGGACGCCCGCACTCCCGCGCTGTGACAGGGGAGGGGAGGGGGGCGTCAGCGGGGATGCTCTGCCGCGCTCCTACCGCGTCCTTACCTGGAGGCCCAGCAGGACCGCGGCCACCTGGCTCCCGCGGCGCGTCGGGAAAAGGGGCGGGGCCTCACCTGGGCGGGTAATTGAGGGGACGCGAAGGGAGGGGCTCCCTCGGGAAACTGGGTGTGCGAGCGACGCTGAGGCGCGGAGGGGAGGAGTCCCGGGTGTGGTCGTGGCTGAGGCGCGGAGGGGAGGAGTCGCGGGTGTGGGCGTGGCTGAGGCGTGGAGGCGGGCCCTTTGCGTCACCTGCTTGGTCTCCTGATTGGCATTCACCCCTCGGTGCTTGACCGCGGGTTCTTTGGCTCGACCTGGGACGCATCCCGGCTCATCCTTTGTCTCGGTCAGGCTATCTGATGCTTCCTTGGTCCAGGCTGACTCAGCCTGCGTCTGGTCTTTCTCCTGTCGCTGTCGCTGGTTCTGGCCTGCCTATCTGGCCTCAGGCTGTGCCCCTCTAATCGGGCTTGACTCTGTCCCTTTGACCAGAGCTTCCTCTCTCTGCCCCGTCTGTATCTCGCTTCCGCCTCCCCACACCCCCTTTCTCTATTCTTGTCTCCCAGACGACAGAATATCCTTCTCTCCCGGTCTTTTCAGTAGTAAAATCAGTCATCTATTAGCCAATAGCGGAGGCTGTTTATGACGGGCCCAGATCCAGCCCGAGGTCGGGGAAATTCCCCAGAGGCTATGCGCTTGGGACTGGGTCCCCGGATTTAGCCCTCGGCCTGGCTGTGGTTATTCTGAGTCCCGGGAGAGAGACCCCACATCTGGGCCTGGCTGAGCAGCGGCCTGCGGGGCGCTGAGGCCGTGTGGGAAGGGGCAGCTCGCTTTCCCTGAGAGCCAGAAGCCTCCCAGGCCAGGAGGGCCCCACCCACAGCAGCAGGACTTCGGTCCCGTTCTCCTGCAGGAGGCACCCTTGGCCTCCGTGGCCCTCTGAGGGCCAGGGCCACCTCAGCCAGTATTTTCCTCTCCCATTACGATTCTGCTCAACTCCAGTCCCTGTCTCCCTTGTTCCAGGAAGCCTGTCCAGCCTCCTAAACTGGCTTATTTCTATTTCTTCTCTGTCAGTCTCAGACACAAAGCTGCTCAGAGAGGTTGCATCTGGCCAGTAAACAGGCCCAGCCCAGGCTCTGGACCAAGTTTTGGGAGAAGCAAAGGTGCAGGCTCTGGCTTGTGCACCCTGCTTCCCCCCCAAGTCCCACCCTCCCTTCCCTCCGAGGCCAGAGCAATTCCCTCCTTCCCACTCTGGACCCCTCTCTCCCACCTCTCTTTAGAATTTACATTAATTATGCACAGGCTTCAGACATCTCTTGCACAGTTGAGTTGGGTTTTTTTGTTTGCCTGTTTAACTCTGCAAGAGATGCCATATTTGTTTTTCTAAAGGCAGTGGTAAAAAATTCAAATAGTCCAAATGATGCATATCGAAAAGGAAGTTGCCTTCCCACCCTCCACCCTTAGTTCCCCACTCCAGAGGATATCTCGGATGCACTTTTTTCTTTCTTTCTTTCTTTTTTTCTGTTTTTGGCTGCGCGGCATGCGGGATCTTAGTTCCAGACCAGGGATGGAACCCATGCCCTCTGCAGTGGAAGCACGGAGTCTTAACCACTGGACCACCAGGGAAGTCCCCTGCTGCACCTTTTTTGAACCTCTCACTTGTTTTTGTTAAAATCGACTCTGAAAATCAATTCAAGTGAAAAAACATGCCTTTACAAAAAGTTACTAAGTGTGAAGTGGAACACATGGAAAGATTGAGCCTAAAGACTGCTTGGGGGAGATTTTCCTTGCATGGAGACTGGACTGGTTGAAGCTTTTTGAAACATGAGTGCAGCGGCCTTGGAATTGAGGAAGCTGTGTTTCTCTGCTTGATTCATTTCCCACTAAAAACAGGCATTCTTCTCTGCTCAGAGGACCTTTTTTTTCTTTTTTAAGATAAAATTCACGTATAGTTCTCTAATTTAAAGCGTACAATTCAATGGTCTTTGGCATATTTACAACAATCATCACAATCAAACTTAGAACATTTTTCATCACCCCCAAAAGAAGCCCTGTACCTTTCAGCTCCCCATTACCCGCCAAGTCCTGTTGCCCTAGGCAACCACTAATCTACTTTCTGTCTCTGTAGAGTCCCCTATTCTGAACATTTCACATAAATGAAATCATGCAATATAAATCCTTTGTGACTGGCATCTTTCACTTAGCCTAATTTTTTCAAGGTTCATCCCTGTCGTAGCATGTATCATTATTCCATTCCTTTTTACGGCTGAATAATATCCTATTGTATGGATAGAATTTTATTTATCCATTCATCAGCTGATGGACATTTGGGTCGTTTCCACTTGGCTATTATAAATAATGCTCTTGTGAACATTTGTGTACAGGTGTTCGTGTGGACTTAAGTTTCCATTTCTTTTGAGTACTTACCTAGGAGTGGAATTGCTGGGTCATATGGTAACTCTATGTTTAATTTTTTTGAGGAACAACCAGACTGTTTTCCAAAGTGGCTGCACCATATAATCCGCCAGCAGTGTATGAGGGTTCCAACTTCTCCATATCCTCACCAACACTTATTATTATCTGTCTTTTTAAAAAATTTATTTTATCCAAGTATAGTTGATTTACAATGTAGTGTATTATCTGTCTTTTAAATTATAGCTATCCTAGTGGGTGTCAAGTGGTATCTCATTGTGGCTTTTGATTTGCATCTTCCCGATGACTGCTAATCTGAGAACTTTTTATAAACTTGATTTGCAATTAGAGTTGTCTGCCAACTGTCATTGTCACCTGATGTGGTGATGCCTCTGAAGGACTTGAGGGTCTCCACTTACTCTTTAATTTTTCCCCAACAGCACAGTAATGCCCTCTGCATTATGATCATAATTCAAAGCCTTCCTGAGCACCAACTGGGGGCTGGACGCTGTGCTGGGTGATGAGATACAGCAAAAAAAAAAAAAAAAAAGCAAGATCTCACCTCTTGGAGAGCTTGGTGGGTAAATGTGTGGCTCTGGATTTGAATCCTTGCTTTGTCACCTCGCAGCCACGTGGCTTTGGACAGGGTATCTACTCTTGCCCAGCCTCAGTTTCCTCATCTGTGAAATAAGGTTGCTCTGAGAGTTGCACGTAAAGCACTTAGCATAGCGTCTGGCACATAGTGACCGCTCACAAGGCATCTGTTATTGTTAAAGATGAAGCCAGGACTTCCCTGGTGGCGCAGCGGTTAAGAACCCGCCTGCCAATGCAGGGGACACGGGTTCGAGCCCTGGTCTGGGAAGATCCCAAATGCTGTGGAGCAGCTAAGCCTGTGCACCACAACTACTGAGCCTGTGCTCTAGAGCCCGCGAGCCACAACTACTGAAGCCCGCGCACCTAGAAGCCCATGCTCCGCAACAAGAGAAGCCATCACAATGAGAAGCCCACGTGCAGCAACGAAGACCCAATGCAGCCAAAAATAAATAAATAAATAAATTTATAAAAAAAAAAGATGAAGCCAGATGATAAAGTAAATGTTAACAATACTGGACAATGAGTTATGATCAGAGAAATGCAAAGTGTCATGGAACACACAGTGGGGTCTAGGAAAGGCTACCCAGAGGAAGTGATGTTTAAACAGAGAGGTAGGAATTGGCTAGAGCAAGGCAGTGTGTGTTTGTGTGTGTGTGTGTGTGTGTGTGTGTGTGTGTTCCTGGCAGTTGCAACAGCTTGTGCAAAGTCTTGGAGGCTTGGAGGCAACAGAAGAGAGCATGGCATCTGGAGAGACTGAAATGTGTTCAGAATGTCTAGAGCAGGGCTGTGCAATGGAATTCTCTGCTGTGATGGAACAGTTCTATCTCTGTGCTATCCAATGTGGCAGCCACTAACCACATGTGACTATGAGCATCTGAAATGTGGCTAATGTGACTGTAGAACTGAATGTTTGATTTAATTTTATTGTAACTGACTTAAATTTAAATAGCCACTGTGGCTGGTGAACTTACATTGGACAGCACAGGTGTTTACACTGGAGTGTAGTGTGTACCTTCAATCAGAGATGAAGGTGGAGTGTGGAGAAGGGCATCCAGACTGCACCGGCTTGGTATGGACTTTGCCTTTTACTCCAAGTGTCGAGGGAAGCCACCAGCTGGGGGGAGGGGAGTTAGGTGATCTGGTTTTCATTTTTGAAAGATCACTCTCGTTGCTGTAAGGAGAATCGATTATGGGGGTGTTGGGGACAGGAGTGAAGCAGGGAGACCAGCTTGAAGGCAGCTGTGGTCTCCCCGGCAGGGATGATAGTTGCTTGGATCAGGCAGAGATAGAGACAAATTGGTAGGTTTGCCGGGTGTGGGGATCCTGACGGCTTGGATTTTAGGAGTGAGGGAGAGGGAGGTGACCTAGGGCTGGATACTTACTTGGATGGTGGCTGCGTCCCCAAGTCCCAGCGCTGAGTCTGGACCAGGGCTGGTCTGGAAGGGAGGTCTAATTTCGAAACCCAAGTCGGCCTCCTGTCCGCCCCTGCCGGCTGGTGCTGGAAGCGCCTTTAGCTTAGGGAAGGAAGGCAGCGGCCGTCAGGGCCCCTGGCTGGGGGGCTGGGGGGCTGGGGGAAGGCCCCGGAAGGTCGGGTGGGCGGGGTGCATTTCCAGGGGGAGGTGCTGGGCTGAGTCTCTCCTCTCCGGGGGGCGTCCACATCAGCTCTCCCTGCCCTGCGACGGGCTGAGCCACATGGCCGCTGGGGGGCAAGTGGTGGGGAAGGGGAGGGGCGGATGTCCGTGCAGTGGGGCGAGTCCTCTCCCCGCCCCATGCGACACGCCAGCTCCCCCCGAGGCAGGGCCCCGCACCCAAGGGTTGCCTCAGACTGCCCCCTCGCATCTGGGGGCCTCAGCGGCAGGCAGTGGGGTGGGGGCGGGTGGGAGGAGGGGCGTGTCTCCCCAGAGAGGGTGTGGCCCATGGTCCGGAGGGTCAGTCTCCCGGCCAGCGGGTCCTGCCGCGGGAGAGCTGACCCCGCTGCGGCCAGGCGCGCGGGCCGGGTGGGCTGAGCGTGCGGAACGCCGACGGACCCAGCCGGCTCGCGCGGCTCCCAGCCACTCCGCGCCCCTCCGAGCCGCACTTCCTCGGCAGCTCCGCCGCCCGCCCGGACGCGCCGCGCGCAGCCTCCGCCGAGCCGGTGAGTCAGGGATGATGCGGGCTTCCCAGGGGCCCGGGCCCCGAATCCTGACGGTGAAGGGTGGCGGCCGGGAAGCCTGGGTGGACGCCTTGCTCCCCCAGCCCTGAGCCAGGGTCTTCGAGGGGCTCCGGCTCTCTTCTCCACCTGGCCTACCAGATCCTTCCTCCCCGGCCGGGAGGATGGGGGGTCCGGTGGTACAGCGGCTGGGCAAACAGCTGTTGCTGCGGAGACTTGGGAGCAGTGGGCTGGGAGGCAGAATGGTGAGGGGCTGGGGACATCAGCCAGGCTGAATGGCGTGTGGCCCGGGAAGGACGCCCCAGGGTGGGCAGAAAGACGCAAGGTCGAAACTGCATGATGAGGCAGTCGACAGGCCCCGGCCTCTCCTGCTGCTGTGGGAAGATGCCCCCCCCCCGCCCCCCCCCCCCCCCCGGGGCTGAAGCTGCGCAGAAGATGGTCCAGGCCCTGACCCTCCCACCCTCCGCTTGCCGTCCCCAAGCTCTGCTCCGCTCCCTGCCCCCTTCTCCTCCCTGCCAGCCCCGCTGTCTCCCCCCTCCCCAGCTCTGGACTCATTTTCCTTCTTTCTGCCCATCCACTGGGGGGGCCCCCGGGGCTTCCCCCTCCCCGCCCTGGGGCCGCGCCCTGGCGAGCGCTGGCGGCTGTGGTTTCAGCCCCCCCCGGGAGGGTGAGCTGAGCTCCCCAGCCTGGCCTCGGGCCTGCCGGGGAGCTGCTGGATGAGGGGGGCTTGGGCACCAGCGAGGCGTCTCCCTCCTGCTGTGAAGCCCCTAGAGATCCTAAGGCACACAGAGGTGGCACTCCTCAGAAACTGCAAGTACAGATGGGCCCTGAAAGGTTTTGAGAACTTCAGAGGAGCCTCACGGTAGGCCGCGGTGGTTTCAGACTAGGCTCTGCCAGCAGCTTGGGACCTTGGGAGAGTCACTTCCCCTTTCTGAGCCCTGGTCCTCCTGGCAGCAAAATGAGGGGTTTGATAGGCCAGGGGTTTTCCAACGGTTTCCCCAGAGCACCCCACACCCCCTGTGTGGGAGGTTGAGCGACCTGCCCCACCCAAATCTGCCTTTTTTTTTTTGATGTAAATATTGGCCACTGGGCAAGATGTTTTTGGACCAGGGGTTGTGGCCTCTCAGGGATTAGGAAGTCCCAGAGGGAAGGTCAGGGACAGCTGTGGCCCCTGTTCCTCCAGCAGATCCTGGCCCTCCCTCCTGCTCCCCTCCCCGCTCCTGCCGGGCCGAGCTCCCGGCTGGCGGCTGGTCTGCTTGTACCCAGCTTCTAAACCTCTCTGGCCCCGGGCCTCAGCCAGCCCTCCTGCCCCCACTCCTGCTGGGAGAAGCAGATGCCTCTGACATCTCTGTCCCCACAGGGTTCCAGCCGGAAGGAGCAGCCTCCTCCCCTTAGGATGTCCTCGCCCTCCAGCCCGCCCGCTTTCAGGCTCGAGACGTCAGATGGAGGCCAAGAAGATGGTGCCCAGGTGGACAAAGGAAAACTGGGCGGTGGTGCCGGGCCACCCCCCATGGAGTCACCATTCCAGGGCGAGGACCGGAACTTCTCGCCTCAGATCAAAGTGAACCTCAACTTCCGAAAGGGGGCAGGTGCCAGGTGAGGCAGCAAGCGGGGCGCGGGGAGCCCGGGGGCCTCACCTCCAGCAGAGTCAGACTGGGTGGCCTAGCCCAGCCCCAGTGCCCCTGTGCCACAGCCTTGGGGGTCCTGGGTCTGGCTCTGATGGCTCCTGGGCCCGACAGGCTGAACCCTGCTCTGCTCTCTGGGGCTGCTCCTTCCAGAACCTTCCCCATTCTTGGCCTTCTGTCTCCTGGGGTCGTGTTCTTCTTGTAGGGACATACTCTTTCACCTCCTGGCATGTCCCTTGTTGGTGCTGTCCCCTTCCCAGCCACAGTCCCTGCGGGGGGTGCTAGCAAGATCCACGCTCCAGTTCAAGAGAATCAAGGACATCTGAAAATGTCCCGGGTGTTCCCGGGCTCTGCTCCAAGGCTGGACTTGTTGCCCTGGGGTCGTGGACTCTGGGGATTGAGGACGGTGGCCTTCTGCTCAGAGCCACCTTCACTGTGACTTTCCCGTGATGTCTTCTAATTCAGACTGTGGGAGCCACTCTCGCGGGAGCGCCACCTCTGGTCCTGTGGGTGTGGGGGAAGGGTGCACCTGGATCCCCACAGTGTGAGGTCTGACATGTGAGGCTGGAGAACCTGCGTGGGCCAGGCAGCACTCTGCCAGGGAAGCCCCGCCCTCCCTGCTCATGCCTGGGACTCGGCCCCCAGCCTCGGCCTCCCAGCCCAGAGCCACCTGTCCTGTTTGTGCTGCAGGACCAAGGTCAGGTTCAGACCAGGGCAGGAGAGGATGCTTGCAAGGCTTCTGGGAGCGGGGAGAGGCTGCCCGAGGCAGAACCAGCCCCTCGATGCCCTTTGGTGCTTCAATCTGTGCTCCCGTGGGGCCTCCCTATACCAGGACCGTGATGCCTCCCTGTGACAGGAAGTGCTTTGTCCAAATAGCCACTTCCCCCGGCCGGACTGCCCACGGGACTCACCAGTCAGCCGCAGTGACCTATTGGTCACGTCGTGGCCGCATGGTCTGCTGGACGGGTGATGCTGCATCTGGCCGGGCAGCTTCCTGCCCTGTCAATCACACGATCATGGCTTAAAACACGACTGATCCCAATAATCCCACTCATCAGAGCCCCCAGCCCTTTCTTGGTTAATCCATTCCATGGCAGACCTGAGGGTCCCCAAAGCATCAAATAGTCCCCCCTTTCTTGTCCCTTCATTTCTGCTGGTCGTGGTACCAGGAGCCCCAGGGGCGAGCCCAGGCGGGGATGCCCACACACGCTGGATTCAGAAGGGCTACCAGCACCTCCTGGGGCCTTTCCCGGAGGCGTGGCTTCTCAGGAAAATTCTGTGAGTGTCTGGTGTCCGCTCTGGACCCCACATCTCTGAGAAACCCGCATCCATCCAGCCTGGAGTCTCTCTGGGGTTGGGAGTCGGGGTCTAGTGTTAGTTGAGCAGCCAGCATCCCACAGCCCGTGAGCTCTGCGCCGTGTGACTTTGGGAAAGTTACTCCACCTCCTTGTTTGTCTGATGGAGAAAATAGAGATTACTCACGCAGGGCAGAAGTGAGGGCCAAAGGGGCAGGTACTCCATTGTTCGTCCATAGATGGTTTCGGAGAGGACGTGGGGCTTTTCTTGATTTTCTTGGTGAGGCCAGCGGCACGTACGGCCCTCAACAGTCTGTGGGCACCTCCGGTAGCCCCGCCCCGCCCCGGAGCCCGGCTCAAGAGCCATGACGAGCTCCTGTGCTGAAATGGATAATGAGGCTGTTGCGAGCAGCGGGACACCTGGCGAATGACAGGAGACGCCTGCAGTCAGGACGCGTGGTCCGGTGCCCCAGACAGGCCCCTGCTCCGGGGGTCTGAGCACTTGCGGTCTCCTTGGTCTGCCTGGGTGCATAGAGGCTCTCAAAAGGGGCTCCTGGGCCCCAGAAAAGGCTCCCTGGGAAGCAGGACTTTCTGGGGGCCCAGGGCTCTCCTGCAGCGTCAGTCATAAACCACATCCCCCCACAGCCAACCAGACCCAAACCGCTTCGACCGTGACCGGCTCTTCAGCGTGGTGGCCCGGGGGGTCCCCGAGGATCTGGTGGGGCTACCAGAGTACCTGCGCCGGACCAGCAAGTACCTCACGGACTCGGAGTACACAGGTAGGCCTGCTGCTCGGGCCAGAGCTGCCGTGTGCTGTGCTGAGACCAGGCTGCCGCTGGGTGTTGGCCACAGTCAGGAACTGAGGGGCGAGCAGGGGCGGAGTTCTCGCAGCCCTCCTGCCAGGATGACTGCAGGGGCCCTGCTGACAGAGCGAGGACAGCCCGTTCCCTCTTCCACTCACCCCACCGGCTCCCAGCCTGCGTCTGCCGCCCTCAGCCGCTTCAGTGGCCGAATGGATGGATGTTCACGGCCTTCCTCAATGCAGCCTTTCCCTGTCTCTCTCTCTTTTTCAGTAACAGCATCGCTGAGATCTAACACACGTACCTTACACTTTATCCATCTCAGAGCATTCTTTGCCCCAAATCTAAGTATCTGTATTGTTTGGGGATATCTGATTAGGGAAAGAACATGTGTGCCTTCTAGAAGGTTCAAATAGTAATGAAATGTATAAAGCTGAGGATAAAACCAGTCTGTCATCCTGGACCCCTGATAATGATTTGGGGTACATACTTTCAAACTGTTTAAATACATTAGGCATATATTTACATAAATGGGGCCATGCCATTGATGTAAATACCTAATGATGTGCTTGTAATGGGCTTTCCCCCAACTTAGTCCATTTCAGTACACAGGCCTCTAACTCAGTCACTGTAACAGCCTGCAGAGTTTCCCATCCTGTACATTTACCACAATTTACTTAACTAACCCCTTATTGGTGGCCATTTAGGTTGTGTGTAGTTTTCAGCCTCAACACACTGTGTGCCAGGCCCTCTGTGGGCTAAGAATTTTGTATATAATTCCATGTGATCCTTACAATAACCCTGAAGGGTCCCATTTTACAGTGAGGAAAACTGAGGTTAAGAGAGGCCAAGGGGCTTTCCTGGTGGTGCAGTGGTTAAGAATCTGCCTGCCAATGCAGGGGACATGGGTTCAATCCCTGGTCCAGTGGGCCACAACTACTGAGCCTGTGCTCTAGAGCCCATGAGCCACAACTACTGAGCCCGCACGCCACAACTACTGAAGCCTGCACGCCTAGAGCCCATGCTCCGCAGCAAGAGAAGCCACCGCAATGAGAAGTCCACACACCACAACAAAGAGTAGCCCCCGCTCACCACAACTAGAGAAAGCCGGTGCGCAGCAGCGAAGCCCCAGTGCAGCCAAAGATATAAATAAATAAACAGGAGGCCAAGTGACTTGCCCAGAAGAGACAGAGTCATTAAGTGGTAGAGCCACTTAAGAAATACTGCTCCAGGGCTTCCCTGGTGGTGCAGTGGTTAAGAATCCACCTGCCAATGCAGGGACACGGGTTCGAGCCCTGGTCCGGGAAGATCCCACATGCCGCGGAGCAACTAAGCCCATGCGCCACAACTACTGAGCCTGTGCTCTAGAGCCCGCGAGCCACAACTACTGAAGCCTGTGCTCCTAGAGCCCGTGCTCCGCAATAAGAGAAGCCACCGCGACGAGAAGCCCATGCACCACAACGAAGAGTAGCCCCTGCTCACTGCAACTAGAGAAAGCCCGTGGGCAACGAAGACCCAATGCAGCCATAAATTTAAAAATTAAAAAAAAAAGAAATACTGCTCCAAATGTTCTCGTGTAGATAGTGTTGCACACACGACGAACTCTGTCTTAGAAACTTAATTTCTAGGGCAGAAACTGTAGTCATACCTGTTGGTATTCTAACACCTGTTGGCTGGAGTCTTAGCTCCCTCCAGCCAGCCGGTGTACTTTGGGGCATAGGCTCACTGTACAGGCGGGTGGGTAGCCTGAGCACCACGGTGCCCCCCCCTCCTCCCACAGAGGGCTCCACGGGGAAGACATGCCTGATGAAGGCCGTGCTGAACCTTCGGGACGGGACCAACGCCTGCATTGAGCCGCTGCTGCAGATTGACCGGGACTCGGGCAATCCTCGGCCTCTGGTCAACGCCCAGTGCACAGATGAGTACTACCGAGGCCACAGCGCCCTGCACATCGCCATCGAGAAGAGGAGCCTGCCGTGTGTGAAGCTCCTGGTGGAGAATGGGGCTGACGTGCATGCCCGGGCCTGTGGCCAGTTCTTCCAGAAGAAAAGCCAAGAGACCTGCTTCTACTTTGGTGAGGAGCCTTCTTGGATAAATTGAGCTGCAGAGGGGGTAAGGCCTTGCCCAAGGTCACAGGGTTAATGTGACCCTTAAACCCAGATCTGTCTGACCCTGAGGCTCATGCTTCTAATAGCTAGGCCGCCTGCAAAAGCAGTTTGTCTTAAGAGGTGTTTTATCCTTGTCTGGCCAAGGAAGCTCACCACACATGAGCTCAGACCAGGGCAGGGGAACGGGGGCGTAGAACTGGTGTGTGAGGAGACTAGACCAGACGGGGCCTGAAGAAAGGGGTGTCTGGGCCCCGGCAGAGCAAAGAGAAAGAGGCGGGGGGCGGGAACCCCAGTTGGCAGGCTCCCGTTCTGCTCCCTTAGATGGTGAAGAGCTTTGGGCCCCTCTCCCTTGGGTCAGAGCTGGACAGAGCCACCTTGACTGGGGCTCCTAGGAGGATGCGGGGCCCGGGGACTTCTCCGCTCACTGCACTGGCCTGGGTGGGCCCGGGACCCCAACGCTGTGCGCATCCTCTCCTGTGGGCGCCTGACCCACCTCAAGGAGGTCCAGGGAGGGTGAGAAGCAGGCGGGTGGATGCTGGGAGGCCCGAGGCCCAAGCTGTCCCCTCGGCCCCCAGGTGAGATGCCCCTCTCCCTGGCCGCGTGCACCAAGCAGTGGGACGTGGTGACCTACCTCCTGGAGAACCCGCACCAGCCCGCCAGCCTGCAGGCCGCCGACTCGCTGGGCAACACGGCCCTGCACGCCTTGGTGATGATCGCAGACGACTCGGCCGAGAACACGGAGATGGTGACCCGCATGTACGATGGGCTGCTCCAGGCAGGGGCCCGCCTCTGCCCCACGGTGCAGCTCGAGGACATTCCCAACCTGCAGGGCCTCACGCCCCTGAAGCTGGCTGCCAAGGAGGGCAAAATTGAGGTGAGTGGCCAGCCCCCCTTTCCAGGAAGCAGCAGGACTCAACCCGGGATTTCTGCAGAAAGAGCCTGGGGTGGTGTCTAGCTCGAAACAGTTTCAGCATGCACCTCTCCTGTGTGTGTGTTTACTGATAAATTATATATGAGCTACAGAATGAATATATTACATTTTAAAACAGGGATGTGATTTTATTTATTTATTTTCTTTTGGCTGCGCAGCTTACAGGATCTTAGCTCCCTGATCAGGGATTCAACCCAGGCCATGGCAGTGAAAGCACCAAGTCCTAAACACTGGACCATCAGGGAACTCCCAGGGATTTTTTAAGTCACTTGGGTTTCTTGATCAGGAGACAGTCTTGTCATGTTCTTAGCTCTCAGGTTTTCTTCGTATTGATGGCTAAGTGTTCTTGATAACGAACGTATCATCATTTTGTTTACTATAACAGTTGCAAATTTTTCTCCCAGTTCAACATTAAAAAAATTTTTGTGGCATTTTTTGCGACACAGAATTTTTACATTTTTATGTATCCAAGTGTTATCTTTTCTTTGGTTTTGCTATTGCTTAATTCCTTCTACAAGGTTTTAAAACTTTGTGTGTGTGCATGTGTACGTGTGTACGTGTGTATATTCCATATCCATATTTGCTTCCAGACTTTTCTTTTGCAGTTTGATTTTTAATGCCTAAAACTTTGATTTATCTGAAAGTTATAGGTTACTCTTATAAAGAGTAAGCACGAGGGACTTCCCTAGTGTTCCGATGGTTAGGACTCTTTGCTTTCATTGCCGAGGGCCCGGGTTCAATCCCTGGTTGGGGAACTAAGAGCCGCTCGGCAAAAAAGAAAAAAGAAGAAAAGCATGATCCAGCTTCACTTGTTTCCCAAACGACTCTCCTGTTGTCTGATCCTTATTATTAGGGGAGCTTACAACCCACACAGCCGACACGGGGCCCAATGCTTAGAGCACAGGTATTTTTAAAGGTTAAGATAAAAATAAACATAAGCGGAAGTTTTATGTTTTTTTCCTGCCCTCCGAGGTCCCTGGGGTGTGGGTACCTCTCTTTGCCGTCTAGAGGCATGGCTGTGTGGCCTATGGAAGCCGCTCCCCCATCTGGGAAGCCTCCCCACCATTCCTCATTTGTAAGACCAAATTGCTTCTGGAGCTGTCCGGGTTAGGGGTGGCTTCTAGTCTGTTGAAAGCTCTAGACTCTGGCCACAAACGTGCACACACGTGTGTAACTGGTAGCCTCTGATCTCATGGGGCCTTAAGGACCCTTGGATTGGGGGTCCCTCGGCCATATGAGTGTCCAGGAAAGAGGCATTGGGGCAGGAGTGCGGAAGGAAGAGGCAGGCTGGCAAAGGCGGGTGGGTGGGAGTGTCTACATGGTGGCTGAGTGTGCGTGGACCTGTGTAAGAGTTCATATGCGCAAGGACCCGTGGGTGCAGGGCATGTTCGCGTGTCTGGGCAGTGGGCAGCTCTGTGCACGCCAAGCTCACGTGCCTACCCTGTAGATTCTCAGACACATCCTGCAGCGGGAGTTCCTGGGGCCGTGCCAGTCCCTTTCCCGCAAGTTCACGGAGTGGTCCTACGGGCCTGTGCGGGTGTCGCTGTATGACCTGGCCTCTGTGGACAGCTGGGAGGAGAACTCAGTGCTGGAGATCATCGCCTTTCATTGCCAAAGCCCGGTGAGCCTGCTTCACCCCGGGGGCGGGGGTGTGCGTAGGGGGCCTGGCAGAGCTCCCTGCAAGGTCCACAGTTCGGGGCTGCCTGCAGGGCCGCCCCTGCCCTTTAACCGAGCAGTCGGGGTGTGGCTGCACGTGCGAACCCGGCCGCTGGGCACACACTCGCTCCACACGGGCTGGTCCCACCCGACACAGGGGTCACACCGGGGTCCCGGTGGCTACCACTGGGGGCCTCTCTGTTGACCAGCACCTGCTCTGGACTTGTCACTCCAGAGCCACGAGGGTGGGGTGGCGGCCGGCGGGGAGGGGTCGCTCGGGTCTCCGCACCCTCTCCGCTCTCCCCTGGTGCCTCCACATGTACTTGCTGAATGCACCTCTGGTTCTCGCCTTCCCGTCCCAGCACCGGCACCGAATGGTGGTTTTGGAGCCACTGAACAAACTGCTGCAGGCGAAGTGGAATCTGCTCATCCCCAGGTTCCTCTTCAACTTCCTGTGTTACTTGACCTACGTGTCCATCTTCACCGCTGTCACCTACCACCAGCCTGCCCTGGACAAGGCAAGGCAGGGAGGGGCACATCCTGGGGAGGCCTCCTGGAAGCAGTCCTGGCAGAAGATGGGGCAGGGATTACAACCCTGTTCTGCAAATGCTGACCGGAGGCCAGACCGCTTGGCGGCCTGCCCACGGCGCTTACGCAGCTGGTCATGATATGGAAGTAACAACATAGTAGTAACAACAACGATAGTACTACTTACCGAGTGTGCAGCACACGTGAGAAAGTATTCAAGTGACTGACGACGTGTGTTAACGTATTTAATTAATTTCACAACAACCCTCTGAGATGCTGAACCCATCATCGCCAGTTTACAGTTGAGGGAAGGACGGCACAGAGAGTTTAAGGAACTGACCCAGGGTCACACAGGCTGTGAGTGGTGGAGTTGGGATCTGAGCCCAGGGAGTCTGGCTCCAGAGCCCATGTTTGCTCTGCTGCTCGGGGGGCCTCCCCACAGCTCTCACGAGGAATGGGCCCCCAGCCTCGCTCTCAGCGGGGAGCTGCTGGGGGGGACCCCAGGCCCAACCCGAGTGTGTCTTCGTGCAGGACTTCCTCCCGCTGGAAGGAACTGCTGGGAACTCCATGCTGCTGCTGGGCCACATCCTGATGCTGCTCGTGGGGGCCAACATCCTCATGGGCCAGGTGAGGGCTCCTCCCATCCCCCACCCCAAACCTGGAATGCCGCATCCTGATGCTGCTCGTGGGGGCCAACATCCTCATGGGCCAGGTGAGGGCTCCTCCCATCCCCCACCCCAAACCTGGAATTCTGCTACAAGCAGCCTGAGAGGGAGTTCGCGACAGTCCCTCCATGTACGGGAAGCTGACTCCCACACCTGGTCCCACCCTGGCCAGCCTCAGGGCAGCTGAGGGCCGAGGGTTCTGGCCTTGCATTTTGGGCTGGGTACCCTCCCTGCTGTGCTTTCTGGGGTGCCCAGGGGGCAGCAGATATCTCCTATGACTCCTTGGCAGTGCCGGCTCTGCTCCCCTGGGAATGGAGCCGGAAGCCCCTGACCCCAGGTCCCTGGCTCATTCCTCACTTGGGGAGCACAGAAGGGTGGCGGCAGGGGGAACTCAGCCCAGTGCCTCCAGCACGGCCTCTTCAGGGCAAGATGCTGCCAGATTGCAGGAGACAGGCTGGGCCGTGGCCCTGAGACTCTTTGAGTGAGTCTTTGAGGGTGGGCAGGACTTAGGCACCGAGGCCAGGTTGGCTGGAGCAGCCGGTGGTCCCTGTGAGGCCAGGGCGGGGGAGGGAAAGGAGCCTCTTTCACCACGTGGAGTGTGAGCCCTCCACCTGGACCCACAGGGAGACAGCAGGCCCCTGGCATTGTCTGGGTGTCTGCACTTTTTGGAAACAGGGTCCAAACTTTCTCAGCTACCAGCAGGACTCATGAGCACCCCCAAAATTCAAAGCTGCCGCCCGAGCCCCTGAGGTGGTCCTGGCGAGACTTTTACAAGCGGGCCGGCTGGCGGCCCTGAGGGCAGCGGGGCTGCTTGTGGCCTGGAGAGCAGGTGTCACGGCCTGTCCTCCTCCTTCCCCCGCAGCTGTGGTACTTCTGGAGGCGCCGTCTGTTCATCTGGATCTCGTTCATGGACAGCTACTTTGAAATCCTCTTGTACGTGTGGCCTCACTCCTCCCCTGTCTCCTGCCTGGGAGAGGGCACCAGGCGGGCTTTGGGGGTGAGGAACCTGGGCCAGGGAGCTCCAGGAGGCTGGGAGCAGCTCACAGGCCAGACCCCGGAGTCGGGCGGCTGTCCAGTCCGGGCCCTGAGCATGGTGGTCACATCGACCAAGCCCTCACTCCGCACCAGTGGAGCCTGAAGTCTTTACACGCGTGCCTCCCTGAATCCTCGCCGACACTCTCCGAGCCGGGCGTTATTACTGTTACCCCCGTTGTACGGGGGAGGGAACTGAGGCCCACGGGGGTTGAATGCCTTGCCCGAGGTGGAGGTCAGGATGCTTGGATCCAGTCCCAGACAGAGGCGGAACTTCTCATCTCTGAGACCGCGGAGGCAGCGGCAGCGGGGGTCAGCGCTGGCCACAGGAGGCCCGCGAGCTGACCCCACCCTGCCTCCACGCAGCCTGGTCCAGGCGCTGCTCACCGTGCTGTCCCAGGTGCTGTGCTTCCTGGCCATCGAGTGGTACCTGCCCCTGCTCGTGTGCTCCCTGGCGCTGGGCTGGATGAACTTGCTGTACTACACGCGCGGCCTGCAGCACACGGGCATCTACAGTGTCATGATCCAGAAGGTGAGAGGCAGGGGTGGCCCCGTGCAGCCAGACCGGGCAGGGCTGGACACCGCACCCCGGGGGGCTCCTCGTGGGCCCGGCAGGCAGGTGCCTGCCCCAAGCTGAACCCCCCACCGGCTCGTGCCTTCTAGGTCATCCTGCGGGACCTGCTCCGCTTCCTCCTGGTCTACTTGGTCTTCCTTTTCGGCTTCGCTGTAGGTAAAGGCCCCCCGTCCCCCACTCACTCCTTGCGCCCCCTCGAGGCTGCCCGCTGGTGTCCCCAGGCTGAGGACCCCCTGCCTATCTCCTCAGCACTGGTGAGCCTGAGCCGGGAGGCCCAGGACCCCGGGGCCCCTGCGGGCTCCAACACCACGGAGGTGGCGGGAAAGGGGGACGCGGAGGGCAGCACGGCCCCGTACGAGGGCGTCCTGGACGCCTCCTTGGAGCTGTTCAAGTTCACCATTGGCATGGGCGAGCTGGCCGTCCAGGCCCAGCTGCGCTTCCGTGGGGTGGCGCTGCTGCTGCTTCTGACCCACGTGCTGCTCACCTACGTCCTGCTGCTCAACATGCTCGTCGCCCTCATGAGCGAGACCGTCAGCAGCGTCGCCAGCGACAGCTGGAGCATCTGGAAGCTGCAGGTGCCCGGCGAGGTGCCCCGTCCCCTCCAGCGTTCTGGGCCCGGCAGGAGTGCGCAGAACCCACTGAGCCGGGCCCCCGAGTGGGTCCGGCCCTCACGGGGCCTCCCTCGGCCACTCCTTCCTGCGCAGGGCTGACGTGAGGCTGCAGTAAGGCCTGAGGGCGGTGCCTGGCACACAGTAGGTGCTCAGCGTGTTAGCCACCGTCATCATTAGTATTAAGTGCTTTCTGAGAGACTAGTGCAGGGCTAGGCACAGTTCTAGGCTCTAAAGACCCGGCGGAGAACGAGACGGAGACCCCGCCCTCATATAGCCCCCTTCGTCGCTTGTTCCGTGGGACAGGCTTGGTGGACGAGGCAGGCGGGATGCACGATCCTGGGGCTGGCCCAGGCTGCAGGAGCTATGGGAGCAGGGGCTCGGGTAGCTGGGAGCTCATGTGGCACCTGCCTGCCGTGGAAGCAAGAGCTGCTTCTTGACTGGGGAGGGTCGGGGGTGGGCCTAGGCAGTTGGTGCAGGGAGAACCTCGCCCGGGGGGCTGGACTGTGTGACCAATTCACCGTTGACCTTGGGCAAGCCCCTCACCTGCAAAGTTCTGTGCCCGCCCCCCGCCCCCAGCTCGCTTGTGTGATAGCAGCAGGCACATGTGACGTTCCATACCTGGTGGAATTCTAGAACCTGTAACGTTGCAATTGCAAGGAACTGTAGGGCACTCGTCACATGCCGACTTCCCAGCAACCACTCAAGGCATATTGGCCTCAGTCTGTAAGTGGGAAAGAGACTCAGAGGGATGCAGGGCCTGACACCACATAGGTAATCAAACCTCGGGGCTGGATTCAAATCCATGCACTTAGCAGATGCAGAGTTCTACTGTAAAGTGCTGGCCACTCTGTCTGATGTATCCTTTGTCCCCAGAAAGCCATCTCTGTCCTGGAGATGGAGAACGGCTACTGGTGGTGCAGGAGGAAGAAGCAGCGGGCAGGGGTGAAACTGACAGTTGGCACCAGGCCGGACGGTCGCCCCGACGAGCGCTGGTGCTTCAGGTGAGTGGAGAGCCTGGGGGGCGGCCTGGGGACCTTGCTGAAAACCAGGCGACAGCGGCTAGGAGTCAGGTCTGGTGGGAAAGGCAGGGCCTCGGAGCGCCAGGGGACTCTGCCCTGGACAGGCGAGGTCAGCGATGCTGGATCTCATAGGCCCGGCCTCCACTGCCTGCTCTTCCTGTCTGGTCACCTTCCTGTCCCACTGACTGAAACTGGAGGTCCCTCCCAGTGGTCCCTGACCGACTCCTTCTGGCCTGAAATGGGGCACAGTTAGGAGGCCAAGAAGCCAGATGCATCCTCGGGTTAGAGCATGCTAAACTTGCCCCGGCTGGTCTGCTCTGCCCTCCCAACGCCCCCGTCCTGACCACGGAGGCTACAGATCCTTCCACGGAGAGCAGACGCTCCCATGGGGGCGGGAACCTGGTGACAAGTGCTCGGCCAGCAACACACTTTCCTGAGGTAGCAGCCAAGCAAGGGTGGAGGGTCTTAGCCACGTAGAGTAGCCGTGAAAGGGCCCCAGAACCTGGGAACACACAGATCCAGCTGATCTAAACTCCTCCCTGGATGCTGGGGGCAACCCAGGTCGCCGTGAACAGCCAGAGGGGACAGACGCCTGTTCCCCCCGGTGGGCGCCTGGCCGGGGCGGCAGTCTGAGAGCCGAGAGGACGGGGCTCGCGGGGGCTGCTGGGTGGCCCAGTGTCCTGCGGAGAGAAGCCCCGTCGTCCTCACAGCCCTGGTGTGCACCCCTCGGGGGCCCCTCTCCTGGGGCAGAGCACGCCGCCACCTCGGCCTCCTGGAGCCTCACAGCTGCCCTGTGGCCCGCAGGGTAGAGGAGGTGAACTGGGCTGCGTGGGAGCAGACGCTGCCCACGGTGCGTGAGGAGCCCTCAGGGCCAGGCGGCCCTGGTGAGTAGCTGTGGAGTGTGTGTGCGCGTGTGTGTGTGTGTAAAGGGTTTGCCCCTTAAAGCGGCGCTTCCCCCCTCCTCCCTCCCCCCCCGTCGCCTGGGAAACCGGCTCTTGGGCATCCTCCCCTCCCTCCTCCGCCGGGCCTGGGCAGAGCGGCCAGCAGGGGGACAAGTTAGGGAGGCCCCCCAGCCCCGTGGCTCCGCCCCGACAGGCCAGCCTCGCTGCCGCCACACCGCTGAGAGGCCACTTCATCCGCCTTTGTCCCCGTCAGGCCCGCGTCCCCTCCATTCTAGGGTGGCGCTGGCCCCCCCCCCGACTCCTTCGTCCCCCTCCACGGCCGGCAGGCGCCCACCTCAAGGCTTCGTCCCCCCTCCTCTCCTTTCTCGTGCTCTTTCCCACCCCTCCACTTGCCGTGGCCACCCGAGACCCTGTACGTGGAGTCTCCTCCGGCCGCCCGGGCTCCTGGGTCCCTGACCGCGGCCCTCGCGAAGCGACAGCTTTCCTGCGCACCTGTCTCTGTGTCGCCCTTCTTCCGAGTCCTGCCGTCCCATCCCTGCAAGACTCGGAAAGCCCCCTTGTCCCTCATCTTGCCCCAAGCCGCCCCGACTCCCTGCCCCACCCGCCCGCCCGCGCCGCCTCCAGCTGCACACCCCCAACAGGAACAGCCTTGGGCTGCCCTGCCGGGGCCTTGTAGTCGGCCCCACCCTCCTGGCCCAGGCGGGGGACCTTGCGGGTCTCTCCCCTCCCTCTCCCCCTCCCCCTGGTGCTGAGTGTCCTGGGGCCTCCGGTGGCTGCGGTCCCGCCGCCGGCCCCTCTGCCCTGCGCCTCACCTCTCCCACGTCTGCACCACGCGGGGGCTGCTCAGCTGGCACCCGGACCCCAGACGAGGCTTTAGGTCCAGGCTCGTCCTACTCCAATCCCTCGTACGTAGACGAAAACTACACACAGCCGCACCACACACCGCCTCCCACTCCCTGGCAGGCCGCACCCCTCCCCCCGGGGTCAAGGCGCAGAGCCGTTGTCCAGCCCCCTCCCCGCACCTCCCTCCGTGTGCCGGCCGGTCCCTCCACAGTGCTCACGTCCCTTCCTTTCCTGGGCTCTTGTCTCTGTAAGTGCCCTTCCATCCTCCGGGCGTCCCTTCTCCACCTTCCCCACCGGTGGCGGTGGTGGTGGGGTCTCCTCTCTCCTCCTGACGCTCCCCTCCCTCTGGCTCCTCAGCACAGCATCGGCTGTTCTGGTTTCTAACACAAAGGCCTGTCACCTGCAGGGACTTTCAGCTCCTGGGAGGAGGTCCCTGACTGGCACCTGGCAGGGGTTCAAGAGATGCTTGCAGAAGCAGGGAGGCAGGAGAGGGACTGCTGGGGACCCCGAGGCTGCTGTCCCCTGGCATGATGTGGTTTCATGGCTGTGGCTCCCTCCTGTTGCCCTGGTGCCTGCGTCCTGGGGACACTCCCTTCATCCCATTCACAGGCGCCCTGAAGAACCCAGCCCTGGCCTCCCAATCCAGCCAGGACAGTGCTGTGGAGGAAGACCATGTGCCCCTCCAGCTCCTTGAGTCCCACTGATGCAGCAGGGGGCCGGGAGGACAGAGCACGGAATGTTTCCAGCCCCACCTACTGGCTCTGGGACCTCAAGGGACTTTGGTGGCAAAAATAAATAATTTCTTGTGGCTAACTCTCCTGGAAACATTAGTTGAGTAAAGGTACTGGGCCCCAGGACTTCCCTGGTGGCGCAGTGGTTAATAATCCGCCTGCCAAGGCAGGGGACACGGGTTCGAGCCCTGGTCCGGGAAGACCCCCACATGCCGCGGAGCAACTAAGACCGTGTGCCACAACAGTCTCTAGAGCCCACGTGCCGCAACTATTGAAGCCCGCGTGCCTAGAGCCCGTGCTCTGCAACAAGAGAAGCTCACCGCAGTGAGAAGTCCACGCACCGCAACGAAGAGTAGCCCCCGCTCAATGCAACTAGAGAAAAGCCCGCGCACTGTAACAAAGACCAACGCAGCCAAAAGTAAAATTAAAAAGAATAAAAAAAAAAAAAAAGGTACTGGGCCCCTGAGCTGGTCGGCGTCTGCATGTCTCTGTGAGCTCACGTCTGTGTCTGGGCCCGGGCTGCTCCCGCCCTCTCCTGGGCAGAGGGACCCTCACCTACCGCCCCCCAGCTGCCCTCTTCGGGGTGCAGGCAGCTAGCCGAGGCGCTGTGCCTGCTGTCACCGCAGACGCGAGGTGGTGGACACCAGCAAGCACAGCCGCCTGTCCTTCCTCTCCCACAGCCTCCAGACGCCCCTTAAAGCCACCCCAGGACGTCTCTCAAAGCCTTTGCCCTCCTGGGCTTACTTAGTTCAGGCCGTGGATTATTGCCTCCTCTCCCTGCTGGCTTCCTGCGCAGTTCCCACCCTTCCAAGCCAGAGGGACCTTCCTGAAACACAAGGGCAAGTTACCCCCGTCTCTGAAGGCTTGAGAGACTCCCGGCGCCCACGGGGGCCCTAGCTGGCACCAGCTAGGTTTTGCAGACGCCTCCTGCTCTCCTTGGCACCTGCAGTATATCCTTCGCGCAGGATGGTGGACCTCGTGTGTGTCTGACTCCTAGGCTTGGCTCTCCCTAGAAGCCTCCCCTCCCTCCATTAAAATGCTACGCTTATTTGTAAAACCAGCTCAAAAACCCATGTCTCACTACCGCTTTTCCAGTTTTCACCCTTAGGGTAATGTGTGTTCGTAAGACGCGCGTGCACGGGTTGAATGTTTTTTAAGTGGCAAGAGACGAGCCTGTTCCCACGCTGGGACGGAGGGAGGTTTCGCCGCTGGTGAGACGGGGCACAGCTGGAGGAGTCCCGAGGGAGAGGGGACGGAGGAAGGAGACTGAGGAGAGGGGTCGGAGCGTAGGGGGCTGTAGAGGTTCGTGCAGGGAGAGCAGACGGCACCGCCCCCCAGGGCCAGAAGCAGCTACGGTGTGTGCACACTTGCTGCGCGCCCAGGCTCTTCAGGGTTTCAAGGGCGTGATCGCACGTGATGCGCAGAACCGCCGTCTGTGGCCTCCGTCGCTCCACCATCCAGAGGAGCAACCGGAAGCTCACGACGGCGGACTCTTCGCTCGGGACGACCCGGCGGAGGGGCGGAGGGGCGGCGGGAAAGTCTCCAAACGGCTGGCGCGCACTGGGCCTGCGCACGCGCGCTGGGGCTCGCTGAGCCCCTGTGACCCAGAATTCCACGGCCTCGGAAGAGACCATGGGCTCTGCAGAAGGGGGGAGTCCGAGGGCGGCGCCTGCACCATTAAACAGGCTGGAAGTTCCGTTGAGTATTTTGCCATAATCCCCCTCCCTTCTGTGAAGGGTGGAATGTTCCGACTGCTTAAGAGGCTGGGACAGTTGTTGTGGGGCCTTTCCACCGTAGGTGTCGGGCGGTTGGTGGTGAGTTGGTCTGGGCCAGTCCGCGGGCAGCAAGGGCGAGGGAGCCAGAGCTTTTCTTTTTCTTTCTTCTTCTTTTTTTTTTTTTTTCGGTACGCGGGCCTCTCACCGCTGTGGCCTCTCCCATTGCGGAGCACAGGCTTCGGACGCACAGGCTCAGCGGCCATGGCTCACGGGCCCAGCCGCTCCGCGGCATGTGGGATCCTCCCGGGCCGGGGCACGAACCCGTGTCCCCTGCATTGGCAGGCGGACTCTCAACCACTGCGCCACGAGGGAAGCCCCAGAGCTTTTCTAATTTTTCGAACGATGTCCTCGGGGAGCCTAACTGGAGGGCGGCTGGCGGCTGCGTCCACGCGGGCCTCAGGGCGGGCGCTGTGGCCTTGTGTCCGAGTTTGGGGGCCGAGGCCCGAGGACCGCGTGTGTCTTCGTCCGGCCGGGCAGCCGCCGTCTCGGGACCGCTGACCCCGGGCTCGCCGCTGGGAGTGAGCACCCCCCCGAGAGAACTAGGTAAGCGGGGCTGCCTGCACCCTAGGGCGCGGAACGACGTTCGTAGTGGGGCCGCAAGGGAGGCTTGCTCGGCTATCCTGATGATTCCGTAGCAAGTGCCGTCAGATGCGAGGACTGACGATTTCTACGCCCATCCGACCGCAGTCGCTGACACCTGATGCTTTACGTTACTGTAGCTGCCCGAGTCTGCCCTAAATGCACGCCCTAATGTTTGTTTCAGAGGGTAGACACTCGCTTTTGGAGACGGGAGCAGCATCCCTACCCGAGGTTAAGAGCCAGTCTGGGTAAGGATTAATACGTATTGTAACTTAGCTGTGTCGGTCTTGCAACCTTAAATGCACTGATAACTGTCTGGTGTCTTATCCCTGTTGTCGCTTTCATGCATTTGACGTAATTATGTGCTGCCTCGTTGCATAACAGCAACGGTTAGGAGGTTGCGGCCCCTAGTTATGTCTAAACCGCATCCGTATTCAGAAACGGCTGCCTTAAGGCGGTTTTAGCCGAAGCCCAGGTCTCTGGGGCGGTACTGTGGTGAGGTGCTTGGCTGCTCTGATGAAATCACTAATAGGAAGTGCCGTCAGAAGCGATAACTGACGAAACCAGTTCCTGGCTGACTGCAGTCACGCGTCCTCACCAGTAGCTGGTGCTCAGGAGTAAGCTGGTCTGGACTGTGACCCATAATCTGTTTTCACCCAGGTTGCAAGTGAGTGAAGGGTGGCCAGCACGTGATCACCGTATGGGAGCCCGAGCATTGGCCTGCTCCGAGGTAAGCTAGCTTTGGGCTCTGGAGAAGTTCGTGGTTGAGGAGGCCTAGCTGTTGATTCATGTGAAGTTGCTACTGGACCAGATATTGGCAGTGTCGTCCGGCTGACCTGATAACTTTGTGTCGGTGCAGCCCTTGAGCATGATTGAGAAAACATCTGAGAATGATTTTGGTTCATGATGTCTGGACCAGACTGCAGAGTGAGCCCAGGAGTTCCTTTTGATGTCATGGCTGTATAGTCCTGAGCAAACTGCTTATCTGCTCTGAGATGCTCTGAAAATGGACAGCCTTAGGTCGTGTTGCAGTAACGTGACTGAACGAACGGAGGTTAAGACAATGGGAACTGCCTCCAGTTGCTTTTGGGATCTGCTCTCTGTCCATGGGTGCCTCATTCATCCCGCCAGGTTTTGAGCACTGAAGAGTGGGGTCGGCGCAGCAGAGCTCTAAAGCGGGCGGCAGTGGCAGCAGTACCCCAGCCCAAGAAGAGGTAAGATCTGGTCTACACAATGACCACCCCCACGGTAGAATGGATAAGCAGCTCGTTTTGTTGAAATGGATTTGCAGAAAAGGATATCAAATGATGAAATCCCCTAAAAAAGCTGGAATTACCGGCAGATTGTGTGGTGGTGAACCTACGGTTTTCTGAAGATATCTTTTAGGCTGTGAATGACTGTTCTTGGAGTATAAAGTAAGATTAACTGATACTTAATTTCCTCGCAGGCTGTGCTGCGGCAGGGGCAGAATTTGAAGTCCAAAGGACCAGGGGCGGCCATCAGCTTGGGCCCTGAAAACCTGGGCCTCCCACATTTGGTGTAGAAACACCTTGTGCTCAGTATCAGAGGGACATTCTTACCAATGAGAGCCAAGAAAGGGATTTTCTGGGACCCCATCGACTGGCACTTCTGGTGTCACTAAATTCTTGAGTTTTCTTGTATCCCTTAACCAAAAGGAGCTTTTGTACTTTTAAATATTGTATAAGTGTGTTCTTGGGTGAGAGCCTGAGGTTTTTGAACTGGAAACTTCCTGAAATTTGTATCTCCATGCAGTTAATCATAAACAATGTAATAAAAGTATGGTCTTTGCTATTGGTTCTTACAAATGTGTATTTGAAGAAAAAGTCCAGTTTGATCACTGCCGACAAATATTTTAGCGGTCCGGGTATTAGTACTTGTCACCTTCCCTTAAGGTAGGTCTAAGCTGTTCTCCCCTCTTGAGACTTGGGGCAAAAATCCCAAAGCATTTTAAGGCATCTGTAACACATGAGTCCAGTCCCTGCCCCTCTGGGCTCTGTCTGCCCTTTTGCACAGCCTCCCTGTAGCTCCTGAAGCCCTACCCCACACCTGCCCAGACAGCAGCAGGCAAGGTCCCACTGTCTGGCTCTTCACCCACCCCCATCTTGCCACCTTCCGGTGTGAAGGTCTTGGCTACCCCACCTGGCTTGAGGCTGGAGGCATGTCAGGCTGTGCTTCCCTAGCCCTCTGCTGTTTGCCTGAGGGGCTCTTGTCTGGTTCACCAACACTGGGCACCCAGAATGATTTTCTCTAGCTCAAGAATGATTGGTTCCCAATCTCCCTGGACTTGCTAATTGTGCCTGAAAGGGATGACTTTTTAACCCGTAGGCCTTGGGTAAGGGGAAGGTAGGGTGAAAACCTTGGTTTTCTCCCCTTGGGAACCTCCGGTTTATTTTTTTCCCCTTCTCCCAGTTGTCTTGCTTGGAGGCACCTCACCTTTGTGGTCCTGGGTTTTCGGGAATGTGCTCAAAGTAGCAAGGATTACTTTGGGGACTCCATGGGGAGGGATTTTATGGGAAAAGGGTCCTTTTGAAAGGAAGCAAGGCTCACTCTGGCCTGTACTGTAGGAACACCGACGCATGTGGTGTTCCACTAGGTGGAGATGCTGTGCGGTTTCTGAGTGGCATGCACTGTCTGCCCCAGACTTCTAGGATGTCCTAAATATTGAAGGGTATGGGGGGTGGCTGGTCCCGTGGCTAGGCCTCTGGGGTCACAGGCTGAAGGGTGAGCCTTGTAAATGGAAGCTGAGACCGGGAAGTTGGTCCCAACGAGCCTGGGCGCCACGAGGAGGCAGACACCCCTCAGTCCAGATGGGGATGAGGCTCCTGGGGTCTCCAGCAGCCAGTCCCCTACCCCAACCGTCAGCCAGGAGCTAGAGATTCCGACCTGCCTTGATCAGGGGCACATCCAGCATCTGGATATCTGTAATTCAGGACTGGAAAATCCCGGGTTAGATGCAGAGCCCCCACTACACTTCCTTTTCTGGGGGGGAAAGCTCTGACCGCTCACATTAACTCAAGCCGCCAGCATCCCCAGTCCCTACACGGCACCCACGAGTTGGGAAGCTGAGGGGTGGTTCCTCTCGAGCCAGGGAGGACTGCTCAGGAGCCAAAACGCAGATGTGGATTGACGAGGGGGTGCTGGAGAGGACCAGAAAGGAATTACAGTCCTTTCCTAGATGCTACCATCTGGCTTCCTGGGTCGGGGGGAGGTGCTGCCAGGCCCATTCTGGATGGTGGCCCGCTACCCCGCTGGGAACGCCTGCCCTGCCTCAGCCATCCTACCCCAGCAGGACTCCCTGGAGAGGCCCCCACCTCCCTGTCACGTCTGAGATGCACCTGTAGTCTCCCTGGCCTCCTGGTCCCCTCCAGGGTCCTCCTGGCCCACAGTCTCGTCCCGGGCCTCGTCCCCACTGCCCGGGCCCTCGCCCAGCTCCAGGATGGTGGGCAGGTGACCCTGCTTGGGGGAGCGCTTGCGCAGGCTGAGCAGGAAGGGCTGGGGCAGTGAGAAGATGTCCACGTTGTTGCCCAGGTCGATCCACGTGACGCTGGGGAACTTACTGGGGTCCTTCAGGGCGTCAGTGAGGTCGCGCAGCAGGGCCCGCGTCAGCCGGTTGCCGTTGAGGGCCAGCGTGGTCAGCCGGGGCAGCGTGCTGAGTGCCGGCAGTAGCTGCAGGACCATGTCGTCCGTGAGGCCCGTGAAGCCCAGCTCCACGCTATCCACCTGCTCCCCGCAGCGCTGCAGGTAGCCGGTCACCCGCTCCAGGTCACGGGGGGTCAGCGGGATGCCAGACAGGTCCACTGTGTTGTCCAGAGGGCTCCCGGCCAGGACTGCCTTGAGGCTGAAGGGGAGACGAGACAGCAGGGTTCAAGCGGGTGGGGCAGGCTTTTCTCCCGAGGCAGCCTCCGCTCAGCCCTCTGCCCGCGGGGCAGAGACCAGGGGCCCCGGTCCCCTTGCACTGTCCACATCTCAGCCTGGTTGCCCAGCGGGCAGAGCCTGGAGATCACAGGGCAAGGCCCAAGTGTTTCTGCAGTGACTAAGGGGACATTCTGGGGCCAACGCAGGGGTCTGCACTGGACTCCTTCCTTCCTGTTTTTTTTTTTTTTTTTTAATTTATTTTTTATTTTGGCTGCACTGGGTCTTAGTTGCGGCATGCAGGATCTTTAGTTGCGGCAGGCGGGCTTCGTCCCTCATGCGACCTTTAGTTAGTTCCTTAACCTCTGTGCCTCTGTTATTTGCCTGAGAAATGAAGCCAACTGGGTACGACAGGGTTGTCATGTGAAATAATAAACGCAGTCAGAACGGCGCCCTGTGCAGGAGGGCGGCGAACGGCCGAGCTCCCTGCTCCCCCACGAGTGCCACAGATCTCGGAAGCCCCTCCTTCAAGACCATCTTCCCCACCAGACAGAGGGTCCTTGGGGGGGCCCTCGGGACGGCAGGCGGGGGAGGGCGCAGGGGCCCCGAGCCTGGTGTGGGCTGCTGTCCACCCCCTTCCACTCCCTACCGCCCGCCACCCCTTGCTCTTCTTTCTCACCCGCTCCCTTGCTCGGGGGCCCAGATCTCCCAGCTTCCAGATACCCCAGGCGAGCCCCGAGGCTCCAACCCTGGGAAGGACAGGGAGTTGGAGGGGGCGCAGCACCTGTTACCATCAGCAGCCCTGGGATCACAGCTTGGGCTTCCTTGTCGGCCTCTTAGGAGAAAAAACAGGCCAAGGGAAGAGCTCGGTAAGAGTCCCAGCGGAGGGAACACAAGTGCAGAGGCCCTGAGGCTGGTAGAGCTCAGCGTGTCTGTGAACCAGCAGGAAGGCCAGTGTGTGGGCGGGGGCGGGCGGGGGACCATCACTTGGGCCTGAGTGGGTTTCAGTCAGCGGGACCGGGAGGCGTCCGAGCAGAGTAAGGCTTCTGAACGAAGAATGGACTGAGCGCCCTGTGTGCCGGGGAGACAGGAGGCCGCTGGGTCCCAACAGAGCGTACCCTCCTGCATCTCCCTCCTCCAGAACTAGCGCACAAACAGACAGAATTGCCCTGTCCCCGCATTTGGTCCCTGCCCTCAGCCCACCTGGCGCCCCCTTTGGTGACTTCCTCCACCAGGGAAGGGGGCCCAGAGCTCTTCTGCTCAGCGAGGGGGCTGGCCTTCCCCTGCCGTCTGTGGGGCCTGAAGGAGCCTGCGCGCCAGCAGGGCCCTGCCAGAGCCTCGGGACCCCGGCCGCTCCACTCCGTGATTTGCAAGTGGTTCCCCTCTGCTTCTTTCTGCGGTGCTGTTCTGGCCCCCAGGTCCTGTGTCCCAGTGTCCCCTCTGCCCCCAGGGTGCAGGGGGCCACACGAGCCCTGAGGGTCCTCACTGCTGTACGCCAGGGACAAGGCTGGGGTCTGGGTCCCCCTGGGAGACATCAGGAGGGCTGGGGGGAGGGAGGGGGTGGGGCGAGTGCCCCCATTCAGCGCACCAGGATCAGAAACCCCTCTTGTCCCCCTCCCCCAGCATCAGAACGGGCACGCACCCCCAGATCCCACCACACAGAGCGGGGCCCAGCCGCCAGCATCTCCCAGGGCTCCTGCCCACCTGGAATGCCCATCCTGCCTGCCACTTTCCCCCGGCCCCCAGCCCTTCACTTCACCTTCTCCAAGCAGCTCTTGCCCTCCCCCCACGGCCCTGGGACGGAGTGCTGTTCCCCCAACGCCCGGCCCAGCACAGCTGGCTTTGAGCTGCCCTTGTAGGAGGCGGCTGGGCGGTGGCGGAGGAGACCCGCCTCGGGTGACCGCGACTCACCAGGCCTGTGGCTTCCTCTTCACCAGCCCGCGATGGCGCCTCCACTGGGAATGGGGGCTGAGGTGGTAGGTCAGCTGCCGGCACAGCTTCTCCATGGCGCCCAGCGCGTCGCCCTCCTGCAGAGGAAGCCACAGGTCCCTGAGTCGATGGAGCAGGCAGGGAGCCCAGGCCCCCACCTCCAGCTTCCTGCCTCTGCGGGACCAGCATGGACCCCAGGCTGAGCTGGGGAGGCCTGCTGTGCGGGCCCAAGGTGGCCGCCCTGAGCAGGGAGCAGGGGTTGCAAACTCGTCTGCACGATGGTTTTAGTTTTGTGAATTCGTTGCTATCATTGAAAAACCTGAGATTTCTAGAGACGTCTGGATTCCAGGTGATATGACAGTTGACCCCTTAGCCAGGGTCGCCACGGTCCCTGCCGCTCCCCGATGCCCAGGGCCTCCTTATCACGCTCACTCGCTCGCCTGACAGATACCCACTGGGTACCTCCTAGGTGCCGGGCACTTGCTCTAGAAGCTGGGGATTCAACCACAAGCAAACGTCCTTGCTCGCGTATTCCACACAGCAAAGGGGACGGTGAAATACTTTACCATGTCTCTTCTGCCCACGTCAACGGTGGGAAAATAAAAGAATGAGGCGCCAAGTGGTTCCGGCCCAGTTCATTCATCTTCGTTACCTGTCTGGCCCATCAGCATTTGACCTTGAGACCCTGGGTGTTATGGCCTGAATTGTGTCCCTCCGCCAAGTTCTTAAATTGAAGTCCTAATCCCCAATACCTCAGAATGTGGCCGTGTTTGGAAATTGGGCCTCTAAAGAGTAATTAAGGTAAAATGAGATCACTGCGGTGGGCCCTAATCCTATACGACTGGTGTCCTCATGAGACGAGATCAGGACACAGACATGTACAGAGGGGAGACCATATGAGCACACAGGGAGAAGACGGCCGTCTACACGCCAAGGAGAGACGCCTCGGAAGAAACCAACCCTGCTGACGCCTTGATCTCGGACTTCCAGCCTCCAGAACTGTGAGGAAACACATTTCTGTTGTTTAAGTGGTATTTTTGTCATGGCAGCCCCAGCAAACAAATACGCTGGGTTAAAGGATGCAGCAGAGAGATTTCAGAGGTTCCAACTCTGTCTCAAGGGGAGTCGATTCAACGAAGAGTCCCCGAGGCCTGGGAGACTGAGTGGCCCAGAGCGTGTGCTCCCACCAGATGGTCCAGTGCCAAGGGCCAAGGCCAGGAAGTACCAGGCACGGATGCAAACCCACTTGCAGACAGCAACGCGATGTGGTGAGGTCAACCGTGAGCCTGGGGCCAGTGCCCAGCAGGGCGCCTGGTACAGAGTGGCTGCTCAGTAAAGGCTGGCTTGATTATTACCGTTATCGTCATCACGCTGTTAGTGCTGTCCGCCCCCCCACCATCTGCTGTTTGGCCCTCCAAGGTTTCAGGTTACCTGTGGTCAACCTCGGTCCGAAAATATTACGCGGAAACTTCCAGAAATAAACTCAGAAGTTTACAATTGTGCGTCATTCTGAGCAGCGTGATGAAGTTGCCTGCTGTCCCACTCCTTCCCGCCTGGGACGTATATCATCCCTTTGTACAGTGCGTTATCGCTGTGTATGTTACCTGCCCTTTAGTACAGGAAAAACAGTGTTTTTAGGGTTTGGTGCTCTCTGCGGTTTCAGGCATCCCATGAAGGTCTTGGAACGTATCCCAGGGGTCACGGTGCTGGCCGGGGTGAAGGCCAACTTTGGAGGCCAAAGGGAGAAGGGGAGGGGCTGGCACATCTCGAGCTGAGGGTCTGCACCCAGGACCCGTGCATGCTGGAATCACCCAGAGCTTTAGACAACACTGCTGCCTGGGCCACCCCGCAGTGATGGGTGGGCAGCTCGGGCACGGGGACTTTTAAAAGCTCCCCTGGTGATTCCCCTGTGCTGCCAGGTGGACACACTTGAAAGACAAGAAGGACCAGCGGGTGGGGTGTGGTGGTCTGCCCGGCATCACCCCTGCGACCACCCGGGACAGAACGTGGTCAGTCTCCCACAGCACCCGTTCCAAAGCCGAAGAATGAGCTCCTGGCCCTAAACCTAACCTCCCGCAGGGCTTCCAAAATCAGGGGCCACGTACTCTCCCTCCGCCCTCCAGGCCCGGAAGGAACAGGAAAAGAGGCGGCAAAGCAGCCGCCGCAGTGCGCCGACACTGCCACCAGGGGGCAGCCGCGCGCAGGGCGAGGCCCCCAACCTGAGCCTGTTTCCTCATCTACTAAACAGGGACAGAAGATGTGGTCACTTAACAGCGGACCTGAGACCAAACGTGAGCTAATGTCCTCGGAAGTGAGAGCCCCTCCGCTTGTCTGGACTAAAGAAACACAGCTAACGTTTACCGAGTTATATTGCCTACTATACGCTGGGCACTAACTCACAGCCATCCCATGAAACAGGGGCCCCTACAATCCTGCTTGACAAATGCGGGAACCGAGGCACCAAGAAGTGGAGGGGGTGGCAGGCCACTCGCCGTGTAGGATGGCATCAGGATCCAAACCCCGCAGCCGCTCTGAGGCTGGGCTCTGCTCTGCCCTTGAGGGATGAATCTTTTGCGAAGGTTGGTTCAAGTAGCTTCTATCGTTTGCAAACCGGAAAAGCCTCAAGCAAGCCCACCTACATTTTCCCAACCCCATCACTTTCGGAAGCCCCCTCCAGGCCTCCTCCTGCAGGAAGAGGACTAAGCAGGAGTCGCCCAGCGTGGAGGACGAGGAAGGAAGGGGAGGAAGGAGGCGAAGAAGGAGGATGCTGGCCCGTCTCCTCTTATTCGGAAAGCCGCGGGGCCCAGCAGCGCTTTTGTGGGACCACACCCCACTCCCAAGCCACAGCTGACCGGTCCAGAGGCGGACCCTGGGGAAGTCCCGACTTGGGACAAGACTCCTCGGGGGCTGAGCACTGACAAGTCAACTCAGGAGCCCTGGGCAGCCATGAGGTGTGGGTACGGGGGGCGGGGAGTGAGGCTGGGTGGAGCAGAGGGAGGGGGGCAGGTGTCTGTGCTGTTTGGGGTTCTAGTGCCTCTTTCAAGCTTGGCTGCCACCGGGAAGGATAAGTCCTCTTCCTGGCTCGAGGCAGGCCGCGGAGGCTTCTGTTTCTTGCAACAGACGAGGCTGCAAGGCAGGCTGCGGAATCTGCGGCTTTCCCTCCCACCCGTGGAGAAGGAAGGAGGGGGAGGGGCTGTGGCGCAAGTCGGGTACACTGGGCACTGGCCCAGCGCCGCTGACCGCGGGCATCGGAGAAGACCCTGCCTGAGGGACTCACTGACCCATTGGGAGAGAGGCCCACGGCAGACCTGCAGGCCCCTCCGGGCCGGGTCACCGTGTCCCTCCGACTCCCCTGCCGTCTTCAACCCCCCACCCCAAGAAGTGTAGCAAGCACAGCCCCGACCGCTCTGCACCCAAGGCTTCCTCACTCAGTCATCAGACATGACTGCCCTGTGTACTGCACCCTGGATGCTGCTCCAGATCCGGAGACTGTGCTGGGTTGTTTGTTCACTCCCCACCCCGCTCTCTGTGCTGGGAAGGCTGAGCTCTTACAGACGGCACCACCCGGCCCTCCTGCTCCTGGCTGTCAGTGCGACTCAGCTAACGGGAGGGAGGTCAGAGGGCAGGAGAGAAAGGCCCAGGATTAACTCTTCTCACTCTCGCCCTGCTTTAGCCAGCCTCCAAGTCGGCCCGCACGGATGCTGGCCTCCTGGCAGGGTACAGCCTCCTCCCACACTGCGTTAGGGCTGATTGGGTGATCAATACGCTACGGCAGCAGGGACAGTATGCGACGTCTGAGGCTGGCTCATAGAAGACACTGTGCTTCTCCCTTGCTCTCGGGGATCACCCCCTCTGGGGCGAGCCATCTGCCCTGATGTGAGGAAGCTCAAGCAGTCCTGTGGACCGGTCACGGGGCTCGGAGCTAAGGCTTCCCACCAGCAGCCATGCTACCCTGCCAGTCCCCGTCGAGCCACCAGGACTCGCAGCCTGGGCCAATGTCCTGAGCCCCTAACTAGAACCCCCCGCCTGTGCTGCTCCTGAATTCCTGACCTGCAGAGATGGATCAATGGTGAATGTCTGTTGTTTTAAGCCACCATGCTTTGGGGTGACTTGCTATGCAGCAATAGAAAATACAATAAAATATAAAAGAAGAAAAAAAACACAAGGTGGCTCTGGGAGAGCTCCTCAACAAATCACTGAGCATACACCCTCATTTTAGTGTCTGCTGGTGGGAAGCCTGACGGTGGACATGATGGAACAGACGTGCTGGGTGGGAAGGAAGAAGTCCCTAAAACTTCCCGCGACACGATCCGCGCTGATAGGGGGATTTGTTCTGGGTGATTTAGGGACACCCAGGCGGAAATGTCCAGGACCGGGGAGACTTTTGAGTCTAAAGCCAGGCTGCAGATACAGACTTGGGATTCATCAATACGCAGTCAGGGTCGGGATGGGGTTTTGCTTCTTCCCCCTTCTGCGGGCAGGCACAGACCCAGCCCTTTCTAGGGTCTCGGCCCACACCCTGCTGGGGTACAGGAGGGGGTTTCTGGTAGGTTGAGAAAATCGACAGGATTCATTCGAGGTGGTCATCTTAGCAGTGGGAAGGATTATGTGTCTTGTGGATGCTTCACCAGGAGTTGGACCAGAAAGGGCTACTTTCTTCGTCCCCTCTCACAGCTAAGGGAGACGCCGCCCCCCGCCTTTTGTCTACAACCTCCCGGCACACACTTGGGCTGATCTGAAATTCTCAGATGAAAGAGGTCCGAGCAGCAAGGCCTGGCTAGCCCTGAGCCAGCTCACATGGGTGTGTGTGTGTGTGTGTGTGTGTGTGCGCGCGCGCGCACGCGCAGAGGCCGCCCCCATCATCAGCTTGGGGACCTCAGAGCCAGGATCTCCCACCCATGCCTCAACCCCAGCTGGGAGAGTCCTTCCAGAGGGCCTCTCCTGCCACATGGCCTTGGGTACGGGGAGGGGACTGGCCAGGCCCTAGGCCTCCAGCGGGGTGGACCCCACTCTGGCTGCCTCTGGAAATCTGGGTTGGCGATCAGCCTGTTGATTTCCAAGACTCTGAGTCCACAGGGGCTGGGCCTGAGGCCGCGACATTCTTGCTTCTGTGTCCCACAACTGACCTGCTAAGTCTGAGCACCCTGCCTGGCACGTGGTCAGTGCCCACAGACTGGTTACACCTCGGCTCCTGGGCATGAGGCTCTCGGCCGTGCCGGGCACACGCCCATGCTTCCTGTAAATCATCTCACTGAGCTCTCGAAACAGCTTTATAGGGAAGGGCATGGCCATGTCCACATTCGAGTTGAGGAAAACGAAGTTCAGCTAATTAAGTGACCTAGAAGGTTACACCTGTGCGATGGACGGAATGTTTGTCCCCCCTCCGCCCCCAGTTCATATGCTGAACCCCAATCCCAACGTGATGGTGTCTGGAGGGAGGGCCTTTGAGAGGTGATTAGGATTGGATGAGGCCACGAGGGTTATCGGAAGAGACCAGAGAGCTAGCTCACCTCCCTTCTGCCACGTGAGGCCACAAGGAGAAGGTGGCCGCCTGCAAACCACAAAGAGCGTCCTCACCAGAACCTGACCAGGCCGGCACCCTGATCTCAGCCCTCCAGCCTCCAGAACTCTGAGAGATAAGTGCCTGTTGTTTATTAGCCACCCAGTCAATGGTAATTTGATGTAGGAGCCTGAGCAAAACCACCCATGAATGGCCCTCTAGCCCTCCCCAGTGGAGGGGACAGACGGCAGTGCAGGACCCCTTGGCCTCAGCCCGCAGTCCCTTAGCCCTGTCCTGTTTCCTGGGGTCGACATGGGCAGTTGGCCACCTGCAGACCCGCCTGCGTGGAGGGAGGGGAGCACTGGAACTGCCCCCAAACAGGACCCTCCTCCCCAGCCCAGCCCAGGTCTTGTGAGCCCCACGGAGCACTGATGGCCCAGAGATCCAGCACCTGAGCGCTGGCCTGCCCTGCCCAGCAGTGGGGCCCAAACGCTGGGGTTCTCACCTGGGCCGTAACCTTTCTCAGATCGCTTCATCACCTGTATTTCGTCTTCCTCAACTCTAAGATGGGCATAAAAAACAGTCCTCTCCTATTGAGCTGCTCTGAGTGCCCTGTCATCTGTCACTCCTCTCACCTGTGGGCAACTAAATCCATGCTCTGGAAAGGGCAGGGGTCTGGCACCCACAAGGCCTCCTACGGCCTGGTCTCAGCTCCCCAGGAGAGCCAGGTATACCCTGAATGAGAAGCGGGCAGTTCCAGCTGCAGCCGGTCCCCTGTGGCTCCTGCACCAGCTGCTCGACCCCAGGCCTTGGGGCTCCCAGTCTGCCGACACTCATTACCTGTCACACGTCTGAGCCCAGCACCCCTGCCTCTTGCTGTATCCCTCCACCAACCCACCCCACACCTGCCCCGACGGGCACCCAGCCCTCCATGGCCAGCCCCCCACCTTGAAGTCTTGACACCAGGCAGTCCAGAGAGAAGCCAGAGAGAAGGCCCTAGACAAAGCACCAGATGGAGGTGCCACCCCAGAGCAAGGTTCCAGCCCCTGGACACCCGGGCCAGGTGCGGCGTGGGCTTGGGAACCGCCTCTCGCCCTAATCCTAGGTCCTGCTGTGAAGTGGAGGCCGCCCCAGGCACTCCTCCATCCTGCTCTGGCTTCCTGCCCCTTCCTTCCTGCTGCAAGGAAGTGCATCTCTTGGAAGCTGCTGGAAATTGAGGGATGGGAGAGAAGAAACCAAAACAGAGAGAAAAGCCCAAGTGTGGAGCTGCCCTGCCCTGGCCCTCCTGTCCCTGCCTGGGTCCCAGCCTGGACTGTGGAGCCAGCGGGAAGAGGGGCAGATCCCCCAGACCCAGAGGGGCTGGGCAGCGCCCGCAGAGCCTGGAGAGCCTCAGAGCCAGGCAGGAAGTGGACAGGAGTGAAGTGGGTGGGTGTAAAATGACACCTGGCCTCAGAGAGGAGGACAAGTGGGCGTAGTGGGGACTGCAGCAAACAGAGCGGCATGTAGGGCCACAGCTACATTTGCTTACACAGCGCCTTTGTGCAAAGAAGACAAAGCCCATCTCTAGGTGGACACAGTCTTGCACCCGTGCCCCCGGCTGGTGGGCAGAGAGAGGGCTGGACCAAGCTGTCACCTGTCTCCCCGACCCCTGCCACCTCTGTGTACACATCTTTGTGCAGGGTACAGCCTACACAACCGTACCTGTTGGCTCTGGCCCCATGTAACAGGGGTGGCTACTCAGCTCCAGGCCTGTAGAAATGAAGAGCTTCCCATTTTTCAAGGGCAGCTAATATGGGGATTGTGTGAAATACTCTGAGGTTTACATGTTGGCAATGAATCCAGATTTACTGCAGCCCGTGGGCCAAACGAGGCCAGCGCTGATGGTGCTGGTACGCAGCCTCCGCCGTGGATGCTGGGCCTCAGGGCAGGGTGGCCAGCCCCCCTCGGGCACCGGGCTGCTCCGCCCAGGAAGCTCCCCGCTTACACCCTGGAGCTCACTGGCTCAGACCGCGGCCACCCTACCGGCTTGGGGCAGTGGATGTAGCGTGCCAGGCTGATGATAAGATCGTGTGTGATGGGGTCCACCAGGTTCCGGAAGCTGGCGTAGCGGCACAGGACGTCGTCCAGCGAGGTCGACTCCATGCCTAGGTCCTGCAAGAGGGAAGGATGCCCAGAGGTCAGCGAGGCCCACCTTACCCTGGAGCCCCGCCCAACATGCCCAGAGTACCCCCTGGCCAGGGAGGAGACCCCTCCAAAGAGGTTTCCCATCCCACATGGAAGCATTTACAGAAATTCCCCCGGGGGCCAGACAAGCCCCTGCAGAGACGGCCCTCCCCAGATAGCCCCCCAGCCTTTGCCTCTCCAGTTCCCCCGAGGATGAAGCCAAGGGTTGTGGGCCGCAGCGCTGGTGGCTGCTTCTGCACGAAATTTGGAAACGGCGTGATAGTAAAACTCCCGTGCTTTGTGACAGGACCACGTATTGATATTTATTTGCTTTCTTTTTGCTTCTGGGGTCATTTTTACTGCTCCTTCTGTGAAGGACCCCGCCTTGGTGTTCCTTTGCCTTGGGAGGCTGGGTCTCTGAGTTGTGGGGTTAAAAGGAGAAGCTGCCAGGCACCCAGAAGAAGACCCCACCAGCCCTCCCCCTAAGAAAGGGTGTCAAGTGCAGTCCTCGTAACAGGAGGGGCGGGAGCACAGAGGCAAGGGGCACGGGGTGGGCGGGGGCCATGGCAGAAACCTCTGGGGCAGAGGTTCCCTAAGCCTGGGGAGGGGCAAGGGCTGGGAGCATCTGCAGAGACCCCTGTCCACCAGCAAGAGACCCCACGGGCTTGGCCAAGAGCAGTGACCGGTCTGGGTCCTAATCCCCGGGGCCTCGCTCCAAATGTTCTGGACTGTACAAGACCCGAAGATCCTTGTCCAACCCCAGGAAAGGGGCAGGCCCCCCAGACACGGCTAAGCTTGAATTTCCCACCAGCCAAGCTGGCGGGGGCTTGAAACAGAGTTAATTGCTTTAGAGAAGTAAAGAAAGATGGTTTTCTACCCCAGGGTGTTGTACTACACTTTGTGCCCTCTGTCTGTGGAAGAGCTTGGGTATGGCTTCTGACTCTTCTCAAACCCCCTCTCCAGTTTCTGTTGTCCTTGGCGGGAGCTGTGGTTCCCTCCTAGCTTGGGGCCTTGCACAGAGCAGAAAGGAACGAGGACATTCCTATCTGAGGACCACCCCACCCTAGGTCCCCTGGGCCCCCAAGCCATATGTGGAGCTGCCCCATCACCGCCTAGAGAAGGAAGGCTCCCAGCCCGGGATGCCATGGTCCAGCGACCTGCGGACAGGAATGTGTGGTGACAGGTGAGTCCCAGCTGGGGTTTGCTCCCTTGTCATTTCGGTGAGTTATCCCGAACTTTTCTAAATACCTTCCCCATGTGATTCTTAGAAATTCCCTGAAAGCAAGTAGGCTGGGTTTCGTTATTCCCAATTTACAGATGAAGAAGCAAGGCTCACAGCAGCTGACTTTGTTTTTAACTAACCGTCCGAATTTCAGGAATGGAATGTACGGCTGGTGACTATAGTTAACACAGCTGTGTGGTATATTTGAGAGCTGTGAGGAGAGTAGATTCTAAAAATTCTCATCACAAGGAAGAAAACATGTTTTCAAACTATATGAGGTGATGAATGTTAACTAAACTTATTGTGGTAATTATTTTGCAATATGTGTAAGTCAAGTAATTATGCTATACACCTTAAACTTAGTGCCAAGTCAATTATATCTCAGTAACACAGAAAGAAAAATAAATTGCATGTAATAAAGATGTTAAAAAAAAAAAAAGAATTTCAGGAATGGTAGGGGTGGGCTTCCACGTGGGCCTAGGGCCTGTCTTGGGAGGATCTGCCTTGTCTACCCGTGGGGTGAGCTGGGCAGCAAGCAGGCTGGAGGGCGGGGATGCTGCCCTGTGGTTTGGCCACTGACATTTCTAAGAGCAAAGAGAGAAAGGGCTTTGCTGGGGTATCTGGAGGGGCCGTGCTCTCTGTCCCATGGGGAGCCTCGCGAGTCCAGGTCCTAGCGGGGTCCCCCCTCACTCAATGGTTCCGGGACCTCTGCCTCCACCTCCCTGTTGGAAGAAATGGGTCTCGAGTGCCATCGAGGACACAAGGGGCCAGCCTTGGGCTGTTTCTGTTCCGCAGGAATGAGCCTCAGAGGCAGCGGCCGTGCCCGGCGCCAGGTTCTCTGGCTGCGGAGATAATTGACACGGTCTGGCGTGGACGTGGTGAGGGAGGCGCCGGATCAGGGTGCGGACAGGTCCAATCCTGCCGTGGACCTGTCCCCACCCTGCTTGTCCGGCCCCTCAGCCTCTCGGGAGGCATCCGGGGCACGCTACCTGTGTCACTGCGTCTCAGCCTCCTCGTATGTAAAATGGGGACGGTGACCCCGCGTCACAGGTGGGCGAGGGACATAAACCTAGTAACACAGGGTAACGCCTCCGCAGGGAAGAGAATCACCAGCTGAGCGCCCATCCCCCTTCGGTGCCCCCCCCGCCCCCCGCCACGTACAGAGGTTCTTAGCCTCTTTTTGGATACCAGGCCCATTTGAGAACGTGACAAAAGCCACGGCCTCTCTCTCTCTAGAAAAGCCCGCGAGTCGGGGCAGGACAGGGAGCCTGGCGCACAGACCACACCGGCCTCACGGTCAGCAGGGCGTGCCGGGGCTGCGGGGACGCTAATTGTCACCAAGCAAAGTGCAGACTCCGGCGCCGCCCTCTGTGTGGTAGGAGAGGCTGGGAATGTAGGAAGCGGAATTCAGGCTGTCACTACGTGGACGAGAGACCTCTTCCCCCTTGGGGTCCGCTTCCCCATCTGTGAAATGGGCGAACGCACCCCGCTCGTAGTTGCTGAGCTGTGTCCCAAGGCCGTGGGGCTGATGGTGACAGGGGAGAGGCCCAAGGCTTTGGGCCCAGCTCTCCACAGAACAGCTCTCTGGCTGCCCTTCAGGGTTTTTGTTTGTTTGTTTCTGTTTTTTAAAGTAGTTCTGTTGTCAGAGACGTTTGAAACCCTGGGTCTGGATGGCTGCTTGGGTTTCTTGGGTTCCTACCAGCCCTGCCCCGTCTTCCCACTCCCCTCCTTCCCAGGCCAGCAGAGGCCATCCCATCCTGGAAGGACCAAGAAAACCCTAGCTGCTAACCCAGGACGCTGGGGCAGGTGTGGGAAGATGTAAACTGTCCTTCCCCAGCCCCCCGACCCCCTGCCACATCCCGCCCTGCAGGTCCCCACCCTCCCTGTCAGTCTGGGCGCCCAGCCTGCTGACAGTGGGTCCCTCTCTCCATGCTGCTGCTGTTGTCTGGGGTCATGGAATTGTGGCTGGGGAGGGGGCAGAGGGGGGGAGGGGGCAGAGGGGGGGAGGAAGTCTCCCCTGGAAGGCAGATGTGGCTCTGCTCCCGTGCTCTGGGTAAGTTACGTGTGAGTCATGGCCACCGCCCGCCCTGTGAATTCCAGCTTGGGTGGGGCTCCCGGAGGTCCCAGGGCTCCGGGTTACAAGAAGCTGCAACAGGGAGACCCAGATGGGGGCCTGACAGACGCTGCTGCACTTTTATCTACCCTTTTATTCCTTTACTTCGACCCCACCTAGGCCCCCGGAATGCTTGTGCGGCTTTCAGACACCTCACATGTCCTGAGGGCCTCGGGCCACATCTGGCGTTCTTGGTGTCCTCTCCGTGTCACCCACACTGGGGACAAATGTGTCATGACTGCACTGACAGTGCTACCGACCCTGCCCACCAGGGACCTCAGTGTTCCGCTCTGCCCAGCGTTCTGGCTGCGTGTCGGGGTGGGGGAGTGAGGGGGGTGGAAGAACCAAATCCACGTGCGGCTCCTCCAGGCTGCCCAGGGCGACTGCTTTGGCCTTGGAGGGGCTGGCCTGCCTTTCAAATACCAGGCACTGAGGAGACTCCTAGATTCCTCATTGCGAATCTAAATGGTACTATCTCTGGGACCTGTGCGTGTGGTCCGTCCCCGATCAGAAAACCTGGGAACACCAGCCCGAGTCACTGCTTTGGGCAGCTTGGCACGGAGAGTGTCGCTGGCCTGCGACCAAGAGGGTGAACGGCAAGCACGTGTCACCTCGAAGAAGTGGGGCTCCCGTGTTACTGAAGCTTGAAGAACCAGGTTTGGGGACTCACTCCAGTGGGAAGAGTGAGGGGTACGGCTTTCCAAAAAGCGAGCAGAGATTCACAGTATTTCTCAAAGTGTGAAGGGGGTCCTCAAGACCCTTCCAGGGCCTCTGTGAGGGCCTCTTTTCCAGTGACACAGCAGCACGATGCTACATTTTCTTTGTAGACTTCAACCATCAAAACAACCTACTGCAAGACACCGAATGCAGAAGCAGTGTGTGTGAGAATCCAGCTGTCTTCTACTAAGCCAGCCACACACAAAAGGGAGTCACACAACTATGAGACAATGTCGCTCTTCTCACTATAGTTTTTCTTTTGGAAAATATAGTTATTTTCACAAAAATTTCTTTCACATTGCAAGCTTATTAACTTTAAATGAATGGATAAATAAATCTTTAAAATATTTTTGTTTTGATTTCTTATACAGCAGATGGCATTTATAAGATATGACCCACAGAGAGAAAACCTCTTTGAGGTCCTCCATAATTTAGAGTATAAAGGTTCCTCAAAAAATTAAAAACAGAACTACCATACAATCCAGCAATCCCACTTCTGGGTATATATCCAAAGGAAATGAAAACGTACTATTAAAGAGATATCTCCACTCCCATGTTCACTGCAGCGTTATTCACAACAGCCAAGACACGGCGACAACCTAAGTGCCCCTCAACCTAAGACTGGATGTAGCAGTTGTGGTCTATATACACAATAGAATACTATTCAGCCTCGAGAAAGAAAGAAACCCTGCCATTTGCAACAACGTGGATAGACCTTGAGGACATTATGCTCAGTGAGGTAAGTCAGAGAAAGACAAATACTGCATGATTTCACTTACATGTGGAACCTAAGAAGAACTGAACTCTGAAAAACAGAGTGGATTGGGGCTGGGGGGTAGGGGAACGGGAGACGGTGTTTAAAGGTACATACTTGCAACTAGAAGAAAAATAAGTCCTGGAGACTAATACACAGTACAACTATGAAAGACAACAAAA